ATGAAATCTGAAGGTTTTGAGTCCGAGCTCTGGTGCGACTATGAATGTTAAGGAGTCTCAAACCAAAGCGTTTCAAATAATGTCTAGCTAGATTCAGTCCATGACTAAACCTATCTTCAAATTGGAAAAGACTATTTGGCTGACAGCTTAATCACAAGCAGTCGAATTATTGGCTTTGTTACCTTAGTTATCTAACTAAACGACTATAAACTACTCGGTGAAATAATGTAATCGTTACGTGGTTATCTTTAATTCAAGTGCAACTACAATGAATTGGCTTTCAATAATTTAAAAGTAAAGGACAGAAACACTTGTGAACTGTCATGGCCACTTACATTATGAGTCAAATTAAGGTTTAGTTAAAATATCTACATGATATGTGGTGTCGAGATAAGAACATTTGACGTCTTTCAAAACTCTTTGTCATTTCAGTAACAGGCACTTCTCATGTCGGTTAACTGATATGGTTGGCCTCAGACTTTTGTTATGAAACCGTAGGCCCAGATCATTTTATTTATAGTTTCTCTGAATCACAAACTCATTCCATAGTAGCAATGCATACCTCAGTTCAGGCGTCGGCTCTTAAATTTATAAAAAGTAAATATTGCTGGATTATTTTACAGGTAGTAGTCAGCTGCGAATCTATCGGGAAGACCAGTATCTAAAGTCACCTTAAAGTATTTGTTTTCACTTTCAAATCACTTAATTTTCAAGATTATTAATTCTCAGTCGACGTTCCAGAAATCTATATCAAACCAAGATACTAACAAACACATTATTTTGTTAGTAACTAAGTTCTTCATCATAGCTCCTACTTAATGCAGTTTTGATGCCAATACATCTAAGCTACTGCTGAATTCATGCTAGTGACTTCTGAAATACTTATCTAAAGCTTCACTTGTTGAGCTGTGAAACCCAGGTGGCACTGAGCGTCGAAATTCTTTTATCTATCAGATCATTTGAAGAACTTCAAAAGGAACTTCCAGTAGACAATAATAATGAATATAAATAAGATTAATGAGATAGAACACGGGTAATACGGTACCGTTGCAAAATGAGAACTAGGATTAAGGGTTGTTGATGAAAATAAAGCAGTATATTTTTTGTTAAACACCAGTGAGTAAAAAATTAATTATACGATGTTCCAAAACTCAATATAAGTCCCTTGTTCAAAGAATATTTAACCGAGTTAAATTAATATAAATTTAAATTATACAGAGAAATAACAAAATATTTGGTACTGCTAAATAAGTTTGATAATGTTGATGTCATAATGTTCAGTTCAGAGGTGTGACATCTACATATATATTCGCGAAAACCTGAGTGCGTATGAAAAGAGTGATATATCTTGACGTGAAGGAACAGATCCAGTTTGTGTGTTGATGACATAAAATTTGAACAAACTACGTATAGTTGTTTAGAAAGATGATTCAATTTGGATGGATACCTACATCTTCTTTTATATTGGGTGCAGTAGGGTTTAGGAACACATATGGGAAGCTTCAGTCACTCGTCTATTTTTATAGTTGAGAAAAGTTTATAGAATTATTTTGACATCTTAACTATCGACTTGATGGGTGATGAAAACAGACTAATGCAATCGCCGATTTAATTTGCAGATTCTCCAGTTTCACAGGATCATTTGGTATCATGAGGTATCATGATAAGACTACAGCATAGAAGAGATCACAATCAAGACAACCACTTCTATAGGGATAATTCTGTATATAAGTAAAAAAACATTTATTTATACTCAAACTAAAGCATCTCGAAAAGTTGACTATTCTGTAGAATACTTTAATTTTGTATAGTTTTAAGACTTGCGGCAGTGTTTCTATCATACCATGGCGGTAAGGTAAGACTTATGAACAATCTATGAAATTTCATCTAATTAATTATTTAACAATAAATTGTTTTGTAATAGTAAACTTATTAATATTTATAGGCAAATTCTTGAAATGCAAGATATTAATCATATTATTTTATTCCCTTTGCTTAATCTTCTTTGAATGCGGTGATTTAAGTAACACTTGTCAATGTAAATGAAGTCAATATATCAATATGAATGTGTAGGTTTATAATAGAAGGTCAGAATTAAAGTTTCATTTAAATTTCGTTTGATCAAGTAGTTTAAAATAAGTAAGTTATTGTGTTCATTTTCACCTTCATGAGAAAACTTGGTTTGAACTGGAACCTATCTGTCTAAGAAAAATTCCTAAGAATGTCTTTTTAATAACGATTTATGATCTGATATCATTCGTAAAAGTATATGATTTTGTATAGGACATTAGTAAATTAACAACAATCGGAAACACAGGGAATTTCACTCGACCTCTCTATGTTTACACAAAATATACTTGTAGAATATAGATACTATTTTATATGGATTTATTTATTAATTTATATAAGTAGCGATTCAACGACAAGAATAACAGCAGGTTGATTTATTCGATAACTACTTTTTTTTTTTTTTTAATTAAATGTTAGGAAAGAAAACAAAGCACTTTTAATCAAAGCATTTCTAGTTGTTATTTAATTGTATAGAGATATATGAATAAATAACTTTTATTCAAAGTATGAACAGCAGATATTTATTCATGAATGAACCCACATTTTATCTAAAAAAAAAAAGAAAATTGTTTCTATCCGTTGTTGTTAAGCTGACCAAATGATTTATGAATGTAGAAATGTCTTGAAAGGTTTGTGTTAACCGTATATATGTATACATAGATATATACACGCGTCAGACAAATAAATCTCTATATGAAATATTAATGACAAGAAATATAATGGGAAAAATATTATTTCATATTGTTTAAATGTATTTATTTTACATAAATAAGGGTGTTAATATCTTAATCATAAAAGCCGAATATCATTTTAGTACAATAGATCATGTCATCAATATAAATCTAAACAGATTTTGTCACATGGAAATTTCATTTATTTTCTGTTGTAATTTTGAAGTTTTCCTTTTTTTCTATTTATTTAACTGACAACTATTCAGAACCACTGTTTTGATTATTATTATTATTATTATTATTATTATTATTATTATTATTATTATTATTATTATGTATATCATTACAGTTTCGACTGTTATTGGGAAATTCGGTGTTGAGTTTATTTAACACTTTTTGAATTAGAAAACATTATGACTGAATTGAATGGTCATTAAGAAATATAACCATACACTAATATGAATAAAACATTTTAATCGTTGCCTTTAAATGTCTTGCTACGACTGAGGATGGGGAGAGTCAGCTCTCCCTCTCGAAATGTTCTCAAATGACTACGTGCATATAACCACTGCCAGGGAAGTCTTACTCGCTGCTCTCTCGAAGCATTACTATTATTTACGAAATTGAGAGGACAAAAAGCGAATGTCCGGTTCTTTAACCGGGTTGATAGATATGGATGATCCACCTAGGGGAGTTGGAAAACCTCATTCCAAACCAATGGTGTACATGAGCTCCAGTATCCTGAAGGAACAGATGGAGTATGAACCAATCGTTGGTCACCGGCTAACATGGGACTGCATCTCCTGAAGTTGCTCCACTGCCTTGTGGACTAGACCTTTAAGTCAAAGGCTCGGGGTGTGAACCTCTAAGAAAACCGCATGCTTCGGTCTAGGCACCGGGCAGTATCCCAGTCCTCACATAAATCGAATAAATAAAATAAGTTTCAATCCCTAGTATTTTTCAATAGACTTTTTAAAAACCAATTTCGGTCCAGGGTAAAAGATGTATCTAAATATATTTTGCTTTAAATTAAATATCACTGTTTATAATTATGGTTCATATTCTGTTTAACAGTTGATATGGGAGTATGAGTAGTAGATACATACAATAAAATTTGATTTGCTTATCAATGAAAATATGGAATTTATCACACTATGAAGACACTTATTTTTTTAAACATCATCCATTGTACAGCATTATTTTTATCATTCAATTCTAATCAAGAAACAAGTTCTCTTTGCATTTTTTTTCTAATTCATATATTTCTCTTTCTAGAAGAAACATAACCAAGAGACTGGATGATAATATACACTCTAGATCTCCATTAGTTTGATTAGTAGAAAAATGATCAGTTTACTGTTTGTAATTCCGTGAACGGATTTAGTTTCTTTTAATGGTTGAATTCATGAGTCAACCTAGCTAGCTGCAAATGGGAGGGAATTTACCTTCGTTGACTCAGTCAGTCTTTACAAGTGATTTTTGATTAACGATCTTCTAAATGGTACTCGATTAATTTCTGTGAAACCACTCGTTCAAATCCTGACGAATATTCATCGAGTATACAATTATTATTATCATTGACTGTATACCAGAAATTCGAAAACGGATTCATTTTAAGGTTGCTTCGTGTAATATGAGCATTGAATGATGCCAAATAACATATGATTGGTAACCTGTAGGAAATTTTAACCTTAGTAAGTGACATTTTCTCTATGCGAAATTCTGTATTCGGAACATATTAAGGTTTATTGAAACCTTTTTTTACCAAGATAAAGCTAAATTCATTATTCGGATTTCTAAAGCTATAATTGATAAGCAAAATGATTAGGAATTAAATAAGTGTTCTGAATAGTTGAAAGAATAATAAATGCCTTTTTATTACCACATACTTCATTGAGTTGCGTTAGGCAGAGACTAAAATATTCTGTATTCGTCTGAGATTAAACTTTGTTCTTAAAAAATGATACCATTGTTTATCTCCCAGTTAGTTAGCAAATCCAGTTACTTCATTTAAATTATAATGTTATTGAGCACATTTTTAAATCTCTCTATCTATTGTGGTAAAAGAGTGAAATTTTTGGTAATTAACCCCTTACTCTAAACATGAATTCGTTTGTTCCAAATCTTTAAAAAATGGATTAAAATACTTGTCTTCCACTACAGATTTGTGTTATGCGGAAGGTGACAATATAGAGTACTTTTATCATTATTTCTACATTTATTTTATTTCTTTTTCATATTAAATTCATTATTGACTAGCTCCTCAATGTGCTGGATGCAAACAATTGGTAATGGATCGAACTATTCTACAAGTTCTTAATCAGAGTTGGCATGTGAACTGTTTGAAATGTATGGATTGTGGCACTTCATTATCAGAGAAATGTTTTGTACGAACAGACGAATTGTACTGCAAAGAAGATTTTTTTCGGTAAGTTAGCAGTCATATATATATATATATATATATATATATATATATATATATATATATATATATATATTGTTATTCATATGAAAGCTATCTACATCTAGAAATACATTGGTTACCGAATTTAAGGTTATCAGTACATCTACCTAACGAACAAATACCTGATACTTATCTTTAATTAATTACCATCAAATGAATTACACTATAATGTTGAATTATACAGATTAGTAATTATATACTAAAAATGTCGACCCAATATTGATCTATCCGGTACTGATAACCACATAATATACAGTTAGTTATCAATATTATTCTACTGCTGGATATTATTTTATTTTTTAACCTAATACCTTTTTAATAGTTGAGATCATGAGTCAATTGAAGCCAAACCACCATGGAAAACCTGGAAGCACTGGACAGCCGTTTTGTCTGTTGTGAGATAGTAACTCATTGAAGACAATGGTGGATGCATCGCTCAATTTCGTCGATTAGTTGAAGTTAGAAATTAACATCGCTGGATGCCGGCTCAGTAATCTAACGCCTCGCGCACGAGATCGATAGATCCTGGTATGTGCACTACTGAGGCATCCCACAATAGGACGAAACGGCCGTCCAGTGCCTACAGGTTTTTCATGGTGGTCTAGCTTCAATTAACTCATGATCTTAAGTATTGAAATTACTATAATATCCACAAAACCCCTTCTAATATAAATACCTTTTGCTTTATTGAATGAAATTTACTTATCATATACATTAATAATTACATAAAGGAATGTTAAACAGAATTTTTACTGAAAATGACTCTTAATTCAAAAATGAATTAATATTAATACGAATATTCGTCAATATTAGAACGAATAATTTGACAATAATTGAGCACCGAGTATAAAGAAGTCATTATATATGAAGATTATATTTGAATTAATCTCAGTAGTTGAAATTTAAAATAATTCCAACGTTTCGTCCAGTAATTTTGTCTGAACTTCTTCAGGATAATAATCAATCAGGATTATTACCCTGAATGAATTAATATTAATGCTTCTTTTTTTTCTCTCCTATCATCGACTATTTGTCAGTTGTGTTAGTATGGTAGAATTTGCAACAACAACAAAGAAAAAAACATAACAAGAATTGTAGGTTTAATCAGTCACAATTACTTATTAACTGTTTTCAATTGTCAATTAAATTAAATTACATTTACTTAAATATGTCTGTGTATATCATTTTATTATGAATGTGAAATAAATCATTTTAAAACAAGTAGATAAATCGATATGAACATTGTACTTCATACTTAAACATTATTATTAGTAGTATTGTTACTAACATTTATTTAATTTTTGTACACTACTACTACTACTACTAATAATAATAATAATAATAATGATATAGGAATAGGGAACTAAGAATGAAAGAGGAATATTCACACTGAAAATAGAAATAAATAGTTTTATCACTTTGTAGTCATAATTCATTTACTCCTCAAAATATATTCGAACATTAACTAAATTGGGATTATATTCTTTGAGGTGGTTTTAGTGTTAGAATTGTTCAGATAGATATATGTTTTTTTCTAATTAACTAAATGGTGTTTATCCATTAGATTGAAAAAAAGAATGGATTTGTTTTGTTTGTCTGTTTTTTCTGTGCATGTATGTATGTGTGTGAACATTTTTTACTCACTAATTTTTCTCGAATTTTTACTTCATTATTTTATTTATTTATCAACAACCCCCTTTCACTGAAAATTTCAGTCGTCACTTAACTGACTATTCGTTAATTATACCCGCCCCCCTTCCTTCCCTCCCTCCCTTCCTCATCGATATATACAGACACACATGTAAATTATTTTGTTAGAATAAGATAGAAATTTCAGTAGTTTGTTTTCTCGACAGATAAACGCGACATTTTATTCATGCTCATTGTATTTATTATCGATATTATTATTAGTATTATTAATATTTGTTATTATTGTGGTGAAAAAAAGAAAACAATTCCAGACTAAGGTGTCATGAAATTTATTAGATACAAGTTGTCTGTTATTTATATTTTTGGCATGAATAGAAAGCTTATTGATAATCTCATATAATACAAACTAACTCAAATGTGAGTATTTTTCATGTTTCTCATGTCAGTATAAGAATATGAAAAAGTTAATAAGTTAATGCATTATAGGTCTTAAACTGTAAGATAGATTAGATTGACCCATATACATTATTAACCTTTGTTCACGTGTTCATTTTATCATAAAAATATTTTGTTTTGTTGTCTTACAACACATATTGTTATATATTTTTCGTTTATATATAATAATTACTATTTAAATGGTTTCGGTAAATAACTTTATGTTTAGGGTCATGCTCAGCTAGTTAATGGTGATCTTGATTACACACACTATTGTAAGATTCATTGAATCTACGGTTATAGAGACAAATATTATCCAATGAAATTGAATCAAATGATTTTTATGAAAGATTAATTTACAGATCATTAATGATTAGTAGTTAGGCGGATACTTTTAAACCAATCAATCAAATTTTCCTGATAAGCAGCTAAACTTCGGTTTTTCTTCTAATTCAATACCGTGGTAGATAAATATCATCAGTATGGGGTTGTGGCGATTGTTAAGTTTTTGATTGAGATTATGAATCAATCTAGTCATGTTCTCTATAAACCTGAGATCTATCATTTATAGGATTCATGGTTATCCTCAAAACATGTTGATAAATATCAGTTTCATAGGAAAAGTCAGTATGGCAAACAGTTTATCAAGTTATCTTGGAAGCAAAAATGTTTCAATATATTAAAGTTTTTTTTGCTTGACTCGAATTGACTCCAAGTGCATTTTTCGGTTATAGAATAGTCATCGCGTACTTCTTCTTTGAATAGCATTTCATTGAACCGTTTATCTATGACTAACAGAGATGAACTATAAAGTTTATGCAAGCCAGAAGTAAAAAAGACTATATTTAACCATGATCTTGGTAAAACAGCTAACATAAATGGTAAATTTTCCTTTATATTACTCATTAATCAAAGCACATATCTCTTTTTAAGTAAATAAATAATATTAATTTTCTTTAATTAATTATTTAGCCGCTTTGGAACAAAATGTGCAGGTTGTGATAAAGGCATTCCACCAATGGAAGTTGTTCGGACAGCTCAAGAAAATGTATATCACTTAGATTGTTTTTCATGTGTCAGCTGTGCTCGTATGTTAAATACAGGCGATGAATTCTATCTATTACGTGATCGAAAACTAATGTGCAAGTCAGATTTTGAAACTGCTAAAGCTCGAGGTAAAAAATATTTTTGATAAAAATCTAAAAATAATAAAATAATTTCAAGTAAAGTTTTTTAATAGTTGAGATCATGAGTCAATCAAAGCTAAATCACCGTGGAAAACCTGGAAGTATATGCTCACTAGTGACTGGCTTCAAGAGGTATTTCCTGGAGTTCTAGTGAGAAGCAGTGACTAGTGTTTTTTAACTGGGTCAGTTGTGAGATAGTAACTCATTGAAGACAATGGTGGATGTGCCGTTCAATTTCGTCGATTAGTTGAAGTTAGAAATTAACACCTTTGGATTCGCGCGCGAGACTGATAGATCCTGGGTTCCAATCTCGTGAGGCGGGATCGTGGATGCGCACCGCTGTGGCATCCCACAATAGGACGAAACGGCCGTCAAGTGCTTCCAGGTTTTCCATGGTTGTCTATCTTCAATTGACTCATGATCTCAACTATTTAAATTACCACAATATCCACAAAAACCCCTTCTAATAAAGATTTTTAATTTGTAGTATTTCGATAAAAGCTTATCAGAAAAATTTAATTTCTATGAAGATACTTCTAATGGTTTGTTACCATGGTACTTGTGGACAGTTAGGTAATTAGGTTTATACTTTAAAAAAATGGGATTACATTCTTGTTGTGGATTTCTAACTTCTCATACTGTCAGAAAAGTTGATTTGACCATATGTTCTTCGTTTAGTCTTAATCTGGTATTTTTATGTTTCATCATCCCATACTAGGATGAAATAGCCGTCTAGTGCTTCCAGGTATTCCAAGGTGGTCTAGCTTCAATTGACTCATGAATTCAACTAAAAAATTATATTATTTTCTTGATAAATTTACACCTTTCTGACTCAAGTTATCATGGATAACGTCATGTATTAAATATAGGAGTATGGTATTTGAGATTAACTTCTTAGATGGAGGAGATTTGTAGCTCAGGTAGATGATTTCGATGGAGTTTTGTTCTCTTAGCTGAATGGTTTGGTCATGAAGCTTTCATCGTCCTTCTGAACGACATCATCTGCACACATTTCAGATAGAAGACCAAACCATCCAGCTCAGAGAACAAAACTCCATCGAGATTAACATTTATCAAACTCAACTCGTGAATTTTATTTACAGGAAATGCAATGACTTTATTGTAATATTTAAAAAATGGGCATAAGTATTTATATTACCATTTGATCCCTTTGAATTATAAATATACTTAACTAGTTAAATGAATTACGTTATATCTATGTATTTTTAGAAGCAGAATTAGACAATGCTAATAAACGTCCTAGAACAACCATTTCAGCTAAACAACTGGAAGCACTTAAAAGGGTTTATGGTGAAAGTCCAAAACCTGTACGTCACATAAGAGAACAACTTAGTGAAGAGACTGGTTTAGATATGCGTGTGGTACAAGTATGGTTTCAAAATCGTAGGTAAGTTCAAATATTTATTAAAATTACTAACTTAAGATGATATGAAAAATCTATAAATGAAATCGAAAACTTAAATACCGAGTGAAAAATACTTAGGTTATTAGAAATGTTATGTATAGATGTATTTCATTTATTCAAGGTAGGTATATAAGTCAAAACTACAATAAAATAAAAACTTCTGAATGTTTCAATTTAATTACTTAGATCGTATTCCCAATGATGATGGTTATTAAAACGAAAGACCTAATATATATATAATTACTAATTTTTCAGGGACCTAGTAGAATAAAGGATAATCACTACCTTAAATTCAAAGCTAACACGAAATCAATTACATATTAATGTAAACATACTGGGGTTCAGTAACCGTTGGAATAGCTCAATGGTAACATATTAAACTATGTCAATAAGTTAAGTTAGTTCAAACCTATAAAAAATTACCATTCCCCTTAAGACTGCAAATACATTTCACTCTTAAATAGTAGGAAGGAAACGTTGATCAAGGTATTTCTGTTGGTTGATTTCAACCAATCAATATCAAAAAAGTGCATTATCACTTAGCCTATATTTCGAACTAAGAGATACAGCTCTATCAATCTTAAAAACTACATAATTTAAAATCAAGGTCCATATAGTACGTAATTAGTATAAGCAAGATTAATTGTGATCGTTTAGTCCCACTGGATATGGAGCCGAATATCTAATATGGTGCTTACATAATCTCTACCAATACTTGCTTCATAATGACTAAAATGAATATAAAATGTAATGTTGAATTAGGATTAAATTGAATAACTTCGTCTTTACAGTAAGTATAACCGTGGTATATAAATGTAGTAAATTTATATATATGATGTGCATAAGAAGTAAAAAAATCTAGGAAAATCATCCATTTTTTACGCTGCTTTTCTATCAATTTCATTTTTCACTCAAAACCACCTTCATTTTTACACCAACCACTGGTTAAATAAAAAAGTACACAGAGTATTCACATCCGTCTATCTATCTGTCTATCGTATTTATTTTACTGTCTATTTATTTTTATTTCTATCTCCCTTTCTCTTTTCTTTTCTCTCCATTCTCTCTCTCTCTCGTTTCTTCTATCATTCTAAATTTCATTTGTGTGTATGTGTACGTAATAAGAAAATACGAAATATTCCCTAAGGTAAAAAAAGAGAGAAGCATTTCTGGTTGATGAAAATAAATATTTATTTCTACTATGGTTGTTGTATTGTTTTTATTGGCTTTTGAATTGATGATGAGTGAATGGATTTCAAAAATTCATTCATTCATGCATACATTTTGCATTTCCACTGGAATGCATAATTTATCATATAACCACCCTTGCAAAAAATAAAGAAAAAAAAACTACTTTAAACAATTTTTAGTTATGCATGTGGTTTTTGTTTTTCTCTGTCCATTTTTCACTTAACATATTCAATTGTATGCGTGTGAACTCTATTTTCTTTTCTTTTCCTTTCCTCTTTTTTTCTTCATTATCTACTGTATAATATAAATGTATATTAAGTCCTCTGTACTGTTATCGAATTATATATTTTATTTGGCTGATTATAAATAGACCTGAAAAAGTTCTTCATCTTTTACTCTGAAAAGATATTCACTTATTCCCTCAAGAGTTATTATATATATATATATATATATATATATAACAGTACAGAGGAATTAATGTAAAAGAAATATTGTATAATAATATCTAAATTTTATATGCCAAGAAGTTTAATTATTCTAAAAAAGAAAGGATATAATTTCACTGAGTATAACAATTCATTGTACAATTGATAAGTTCGGTATGTATTATGAATGCAAAACAGAATAGATTATTATTGTGAGTAGTTTAAGCTGATAGATGAATATTAATTTCATTATATTTGATGAATTTATGGGGGAAATAAATGAATAAGTTTCAGTGGTTTAATTTTCTATATTTGATATGGTATATTCATCTTATAAATGACTGATATAAGCGATATATATTTAATATAAGATAAAGTAATATATAAATAATATAGAAAAGTGACTAAAAGAGTTTAAATAGAAATGAAATTGTTATTATTACTGGCGAAATTATTTACAGTCAATATAATGAACAATTAAACTACTCTCAAACGTTAACTTCTGATAACTTTATTAAATGCTTCCAAACAACGGATTTAATATTATATCTTCTACTGTACTTGTTCACTCTGGAACTCGGACCCAGTACCTTTTGCTTCAAACGTCATCGCGTTATCCTGTTAGCTACTGAGTCCTGACAGCCAGCTGCATGTGCAATGGAGTGAAGTTATATTCACTTGATGTTGTCTACTTGTATCTCCCCACTGTTATTGGCTATCAGAACTCAGTAGCTAAGTGGATAACGTGATAGTATTTAAAGCAGACGGTACTAGGTTCGAGTCCCAAAGTGAATATCAACTCTGAGATAAAGGTACATCCAACTGATGAGTCCAAAATAGGACGAAATGCGTGTCCTGCATTCCACTACTAGTCACTATCAATCTTTGTTTATAAAGCTTGTGACTTAAGGCCATATCGAGGCAATCCGCACAGGATGCACATATGCCAACAAGAGACTGATCAATTGTAGTCGTAAATAACAATGGTAAGATACAAGTAAAATAACACCAAGTGAATAGAATTTTTGTATTCATTGAGATTAGTTTTCAATGAGCACTTTGAGTTCACTAGTTAAAATCCTAATATACTTCTTTTCTTTCTTTTGACCTTAACTATCATCCACATATCTGATAACTGGTTCAGCTTCATGACCAGTTAGATGGATTATATAATCTATATAAAAATAAAATCAATACAATTCATGATCTCAATCAAAAACTTAACAATCTCCACAATCCTTTGCTGATAATTACCATCGGCTCACTAGTGACTAGCTTCGTGAGCGAATTCTCGGAGTTCTAATGAGAGACCGTGACCAGTTGAGCTAATCCATGTCAGGTAGAGGCGTGCATCTACCTCAGATATTGGAAGATGGTCTCATAATTTCGTGGATTGGTTGAACTTAAGCATTAACAAGGTTGAATGCGTGCTCAGTCATCTAGAGGTTATGTGTTCTCGAGCGAGATTGAAGGTCCTAGGTTCGAGTCGCGTGTGCGCGATCATAGATGCATACTGCTGAGGAGTCCTATACTGGAACAAACCGGCTATTCAGTGCTTCCAGGTTTTCGATGATAATTTAATACTGACCGACTCATGATAATCAAAAACTTAACAATCCCCAAAACCCTTCATCGATCAATACAACTTAACCTCGATTTTGATAGATAAAGCATCTTAGCTTATACCTACTGTAATTACGGCTTTTTAGCGTAAGATAAAGTCAGAATATATGATGTATTGACAATCTTTTGTTTGAATAATGTGTAAACATTAAAACTAATTGGTTAAACTAATTTTTAGATTAAATGTTTTTGCATTTTATTTATTAGGGCAAAAGAGAAAAGATTAAAAAAAGATGCTGGAAGGAATATCTGGTCAATTTCTGACTCTTTATTAATCAGTAGTACAAGTACAAGTACTAATAGTAATACACCTCTTTGTATGAATGAATCATACTTATTTTCAACATGTTCAAATGATTTAGACAAAAGTTCTGCACCATACTGTGGTGATAATTCAATTATATTGGATGATTCAACTAGTGGAGATGAATATTTATCTAAGGATGAATTCCAAGGTTCTGGTTCAAGTAAGTTTACTTTTACTGATACTCAAGTTTTCGAATTTGAGTGACGAAATGGTAAGATAGAAGTAAAATACCCTAGTAATTCTATCTAGTGACTAGCTATCCACGAACGTCAACCAGTTTTATTCTTATCCATCAATAGGACACAGTTTAGATAATTATTAGGAATGTTTGTTACCCGATGGGCGTTTTCATTTAACAAGGAAGATGTAAAGTAATTCATCAGCGGTAACTACGTACAAGTGTTATGTGTTTTCGAGACTTATAAGATTATCATAAATAAATGGTTGACTTTATGGAATTGTCCCCGAAGAAACATTTGAAGTAATAAAGAATTTCTACCGCACTCTTTCTTTTAACATAATTTGATTTATAATATGATATCCTCCTATTCTTACAGTTATATTAATTATTGTCCGTATGATAACATAATTCGATAATTTAAAATAAATAAGCAATTCAATGACAAGGGAATAAAATATCATCATTATTCAGTATCGATAGTTGAAGTTGATAACTCTTCGTTCACAATGTGATTTATGCTGAGGAATCCCACGATAGGATGAAACGGCCGTCCAGTGCCTCCAGGTTTTCCATGGTAATCCAGCTTCAAGTGACTCATGATCTTAACTACTGAAATTAAAATTACCTCTTTTTGCACTTACCAACTTGAAAAAAGTAGGTTTTTGACAGAAAAGTTAATTATTCTTTATATCCTTACTAATATTCTAAAGCTAGTTTAGTAAATGTCGCATCGTGATCTCTGCTAAGATAAGAATGAATTCTACTTTGTATAACTGTGGTGTGTGCTACTTATATCGACACAAGTAGTATATAACGCTAGTTAGGAATAGAATGTTTGGCAGGAGAAGGTTAAGAAGATCGAAGAAAATAGAGCGAGAACAGTGAATGATTGATGTGGAAATGAAATAACAACAAAGTCTGAGGCAACTGACTAATATTTTGTAAATGAAGTATTTACTGTATGGTTCTCAGATTTTACTAAGAAATTCTGTAATTTTGTATTCAAATACATTCGATTGTCCCCACTTGTATTCCCGTTCATTACATAACTACACTAAATCAGTAACAAGTGATTTCAATCTAATATTTATTAGTTTCAAGTGAGCTCTTAGAAAAGTAACAAAGATTAAGTTTTATTGAATAGATTTTATGATCCAATACTAGATTACAAATGTTTCAGTTATTTTATGAAATAACTTTAATATCGGGGTTATAGGTTTATGAATTCAAAGAATCATTGGCTTCCAATTCAAACAATCCATATTTGTAATCTTTTTGCCAACTATTAAGTAGTTAGCTTTTGGAGATATTTATAACAATTGGACTAAGTCAATATTCCATAAGTGACTTATGATAATATTTTACAGTAACAACTCTAGTGGTATTGAGATGCAGAGTTCTTGCTTCTGATGAGTGTTACTTCGGTAGACTATACTGTTTGACCTGATGCTTCCTTTATTATGAAATAAAATGGTGTTAGATTGAAAATACTCGTTATTATGTCACTACCAGTGATGCAAAAACCAGAATTTAAAAATTACCAAAAGATGTTCTCTGTTTCTTTTAAGATAACAGATATAACCCATGTTGAGACTTTCTCTGGAGTAAGTAAAAGAACTTTCAGTCTATGAAGTATTCTTAAAACTATTTTTTCAAAATTTTTTATTTATATTTTGCTCATGTTTCATAATATAAAAATGTAAATTTCCATCCCCAGGTGATACAGACAGCAACTGTTCAGAGGAACCTGAAGATTTGAATCAGTCTTTAAATTTTTCTGTTGTATGCGATCCTTCACATCCGAAACATACTACAGATACACCAACCACCGAAAAGTTACCATTAAATAAAGATGAATTCCTATCTCATGACAATAAATCTGCACTTTTTCAGGCATTTTCAAAGTCTAACTTATACGAAAACCATTCAGTTCACGATTTAGCATTAACAAAAGCAGAACAACAACATGATGTGAAATTCCATGGTTCTACTCAAACATGGTTATCCACTCCACGGTCTCTTCAAAATCAAAGCTTTTCAGTTGACAATCAGTTGTTCAAACCAGATAATGATAATATTATCTTAAAACACAGTATAGAAAGTGATCCAGACAATAAAAATCATAACATTTTGCGTTTTACATCAAATCCATTTGTTTCAAGTTGTGTTAGCTTGAATAAGCAAGTTGTATCTAATAGCGAATTGTCAACAAAAGAAACATATTTACAGCCTGTTGACTTCTATCCTTATTGTTTAAATGCTAGCAGTCTTTCACAATATGGTATTCCACAATCAAGTTCATCATAAAGAATCCTGCTTAAAAATTAATCCAATAATAAGAGTATACCATCGTATCACATGATATGATTCATATGATCCTCTTGTAGCTGACAGAATATATTACGGCAAACATTTTGCTTATCATTCACAAAATTAATAACAGATTATTAAACACAAGAAATACAATAGTACTGAAAATCATTTTTGTTTTCAGTAGTATTTATCAAAATAAAAACTTCAAACGAAATTCATTATTTGAATTCAGAATTTTTGGCATATTTATGATGTATTCCGTTTATCTTTGTGTTAACATCTATGCTGCTTGTCTCTATTTCATTTTGTTGGACATTATTATTTAATTTGTTCTATTGTATAAGTATTGCTTTTAAAAAAAAGACTATCAGTTAGTCCATCATGTATCTACATCAGTTTAGATTATTATTTATTGTTTCTATTCATAATAATAATAATAATAATAATAATAATAATCATAATATTATTTAATTCGAATTTGATAACTAAACGTCACTTGTAAAATTGTTTTACAATTCATCCGAATTATGAATAAGACAGTTTCATCTCACTTTAGACTTCTTGAAAGGCATGAGATAAGGATTCCACTTGAAATTAAGTAAACTTTACCTATTCAATTTTCTTTTTTGTATTTTAAATGAATTTATTAGAATTTTCTTATTATTGTATCTCTAAACTCAATTGTGTTTACTAATTGATAAGTTAACAATAAGATGGTTATTGTTTGAAGATAAAATGTTAACAGAATTTCATTAGTTACAAGATTACGTAATTTTTTTCTAATAGAATTTGTATGGTTTGACTGTTAATTACCATTTGATTGACATTAATTTATGATTAATTCTACTTTCATGTCATACGGTTCTCAATAATAATAATAATAAAATTCTATTCTCCTAACTAATCAAGTTTTGTTTGGGGGTGGGTGGGTGAGTGGATCTTTAATGCCTTATTTTCATTTATCGCTAAGAATCCCACAATTTTGATTATGTTTATCATTTAGATGTTATAGATACCCTAGTAAGTAACTAGGGTAAAAATCATCCATTTAATAAAATCCTGATTAAAGTGCACAACTGATAAAAATGACTTCTTTGTTGGATGCTTCAAGATAAGAGATTTTCTTTAGTTTTAAAGGGAAATTAAGAATCATGAGAATTATGAACACAAACGTATATGGAGTAATTTTTAGGACCAAATGTAGTGAATTAAGAAGTTATGTTATAGTAAAATTTGACGATCAGATTACTTATAAATGGTTTACCAGTGATATAATCCATACAATTAACAGTATAGGGTTGTCGAGATTATTAAGTTTTTTGATTGAAATCATGAACTGGTTGATGCTAGATTACCGTCGAAAACCTGGAAGCACTGAAAAACCGTGTCGTCTTATTGTGGGATTCCTCAGCAGTGTGCATAGATGATCCCGCACGCAGGATTCGAACACAACCTTTAGTCTCGCGCGAGAACACTTGACCTCTAGACCAGTGAGTCCGCATCCAACAGTCTTAATGTCTAGCCTCAACCAATCCACGAAATTGGGTGACCATCTTCCATTGTACTAAGGTAGATAGCTGTTTCTACCCGACTCGGTTTAACACCACTGGATGCCGACTTAGTGGTCTACAGGTTAAAACTGAAGGCCCTGGGTTTGAATCCCGCGAGGCGGGGTCGTGGATACGCACTGCTAAGGAGTCTCACAACAAAATGAAACGGCCACTCAGTGCTTCCACGTTTTCAGTGGTGGTTTAACATCAATCAGTTCATGATCTTAATCATAACCCATACAATTTTAACTCATGTGAAGTCATAAAATAGTTGTTCTTTCTGTAAATGATTATAGATATTTTCTTTAATCTGATTACATATTTATGAATGATTAAGCCTTTTCCATAATATATCATTGCATGAATTTCTTTAGAGATCTTCACACCACTGTAAATATTATGTAATCTTCGACCAAACATTTGATTTAATGATATGATTGCACGATTATTTATTTACATTTACTTTGATTATCATTCAACCTGTAAACTTATTTAAGTAACCATTGTAACACTAGTCATTTCAACACTAACCATTTTATACTATGTTACCAACATTCTTAAATTTAAACGTTCTAATTTTAAAAGACGTATTTGGCTAAGAATTGACTAACTTATTGAAAAGAATATCCTTTGTTTATAACTGCTTTTTTTTAAAGACTTCCCATGTTGAATAGAAATGTATGAATAATTTATCAGTTTCACTGTAGGAGGGGAAAGCAAGAACATATATACAATAATATGAAGGCCTATTTGAATAAAAGTTTATAAATCATTAGGGTTCAACTGAGTGTTCCTTATTCAGAATTAAACAAATAGCAGTAATCCACAATGTTTGATGAAAATTCAAAGTCTGAAATTAAGAAATAATTGCATAACTATTGATTATAATTAACAATGATCTAGTACATTAACATTTTGCTTAAAGTATAACTGACTGAAAAAAACATACTCCGTAAATAAATAAAAAATAAACGACTCATCCGAGTCACATAACATTTAACTTAGCTTCAAACTCAGTACCGATCCCTTCAAACGCCATCGCGTTATCCGGTTAGCTACTGAGTTCCGATAGCCACTAGCTTGTGTAATAGGGCGATCCGCACAGGATGCACATATACCAATAAGAGACTGACCAATCGCAATCCTAAATATCAATGGGGAGATTAAAAAAAAATAATACAAAATGGATATTTTAAAAACTTTAAAGTAAGTTTCAAAGTATTAATTAATTAATTATCTGATGAGTAAAAACAGGTATTAAAAATCTTCAGTTCAGTGATAAAAAACAACTTTTAAAATACTACCATATAAATTATTTACTGCAATTTTCCTTGTCATGTACAATTTAAATATCATCATTGTGTACCTAGTTTTAATCTTGATATGTCTTGTTGTTTGAATGATACTTTGTTATATCTGGTCGTCGCTGATTGTTGTTTCGGAAACGCTTATCACTTATGCTCGGAACGTGGGACCTCTGCAATTCCCACGACTCGAAGTAAGAACACAAAGACTTGTATAAGTGAAGATTGATTAAGCCCCAAAACACAGCGACCCTAGTCTAAAATACACTCATTTATATATTGATTCGTACACCCATTTTGATTAATAATTAGGATGAAGTCACATATGTGAAAAATACTTAGAGTGATAACAAATCACATATTGAGCATAGTTCATGTTAATTGAATACACGAATATGGCATATTATACAGAATAAAATGTTAGATGGGAAAACAAAACCGAATACTACACTGAATAATCATCAAATTGAATCAAAACAGAAGTAACGTTGAACAAACCTGATAAGAGTGAATCAATCGAATTTTGACTTTTCTTCCCGTCATATCAAATCTCGCTTTTTTCTAATTTGTGGATGAAAATGGTCTACAAAAATCCTAAAAATTATGCCTCTTCATGATTTTTCTATCTAATGATTCTCTTAGATCCAATGCTCAAGTTTTATATCAAACAATGATATTGATGTAAACCAAAACAAAATATTATTCACTAGTATTCCTCTGTGTTTCAATGCACACACACATTTTACGTGAATAAAATTGTCACAGCACTACGCAGCTGAAATAGTTGTTAAATAGTCTATTTTTACTCAAAAATCATGAGTTAATGAATTGGAAATATGGTAATGAACAAGAACACCAATGAGGGGGCAGGACGAACAAATGTATTTGATTACAAAACTACAAAATCTCTCAGTAAAATCTGCGAACCATATGTGCAATACTTAATTTGCAATATGTCGATCAGACTTGATTGTTCCTTCGTTTCCATACCAATCACTCTTTGTTCACGTTCTCTTCACTTCAATCTTCTTAACCATCTGCCGTTAGGCATTTCACTTTCGACTTGTGATACATATTACTTATATCTGTCGACATCAGTAGCACACACCACAGTATATTCTATTTAATGATCTATTAATTAATAGAGATCCTGTTCATGAAAAAAGTAACTCATATTCTTCAAGATTCTTGGTGAATATTGTTATCTAGCAGTGGTTTATCCCGGACATTATTAGCAACAACCTACTATGGGAGAGAACAAATCAGATCCCAGTGGAGGAAGAAATCAGGTAGAAGCGCTGGAAGTGGATAGGACACACATTATGGAAAGCACCGAACTGCATCACAAGACAAACCCAAGCATGGAATCCTCAAGGCCAAAGGAAAAGAGGAAGACCGAGGAACACATTACGCCGGGAAATGGAGATAGGCATGAGAAAAATGAACAAGAATTGGATGGAACTAGAAAAGAAGGCCCAGGACATAGTGAGTTGGAGAATGCTGGTCGGCGGCTCGTGTTTCATTAGGAGTAACAGGCGTAACTAAGTGAGTAAGCAGTGGTTTATCAGTAAATATCAGTCCCAGATAGAATTATCTTCATATCGAAATAAAATTTCATTCTTTATCTAACTAAGAAAAACAACTTTGTTTTATGTCAAAACTAATTTTAGATTTTTTTTTATAAAATACATTCAATTTCATGTAGACAAAGCTATAGGGAAATATTTTAACAAGTAAATAAAGTTATAACTAGCGCCATACCGATGTTTTACTCTTTTCAATTTAACCGAATTAACAATTCATTTTGATGTTTACCGATTAAATTTATTCCTTTTAGAAAATAGGATAAAATTTTAAGTAATTAGTAAGTTACTACTATATATATATATATATATATATATATATATATATATATATATATATATATATATATATATATATATATATATATAAATCTTTAATATTTAGATATGGAATTTCAAAAAGGGTCACCTTAGTTAAACTATTCACTTGTTATATATAAACTTTCTTGCATTTTTAATGAAGTATGATAATAATAAGTTATAACTTGATTAAAAGCTTCAAAAGAAACCATAACCAAACTCGTAGACTTTCTATTTCTTTCATTGATACATTAAGTGTGGTTTATTAAAGTAAATTGAATCTTCTAAACAAGGAACTTAACATAATATCTCCTTTTTGTTGATCAGATATGATTTTATTATAGGTAAACTGAATCATTGTTATAATGGTAAGACGATGATTTACGGACGACCTTCGTGCAACGTTAAGGTGATCTTGAGAGTGTTCACCTAATAACTAGGATCAAATGAGAGTTGTAAACTAGTGTGAGGAATTAGAATTATGATTTACAGTTGATGGTTAAGGTAAGGAATCAGGTTTAGGGTTTTCATCGTGGACTGACAGCTATAATGGCAAAACTCTATTTAGCCAAATGAATGGGTGTATTTCGTGTAAAAATTCGAGGCCTGTTATCTTATATCTGATTAGTTTGTCCATAAATTATAGTCGCACCGTTTGGTTTGACATAAGTTATTATAGTTAAAAAATAAACTCTGAAAATCAAAATATTATGATAATTTGTAGTTAAATGTCTAGATAAGACTTGAGAATCAATTTCTACGGTTTTATTATACCTTTGACTTATTGGGAAACTGATTCTACTGAAGTTCACACATAATAAACAAAGTTTTGTTCTGTTTAGCCTTCAGTTAAGTAGATTAATTATATCTGTTTTAAGTACTAAAGTGATGTATTGTCAATCTACTCTAACATCTCTTAAACTTAGTGGAGTTTTTCAGAAAATGA